ATGAGGAGCCTCATCGGCTCCCTGAAGTGCAGTAGAGACTGACAGCTGCGACAGACTTCCCAATGCAACACAAGGCCATAGAGGGCCCAGGACATTCACAAGATACCTGGCGGCCAGAACCCTATTCCTGGTTGATGGAGTTCGACCTCCAAATTCGACCTCCTATTCAACCTCTAAAACCGCCGCTCCAGAATGTTGAATGAAGACTTATTACCAAAAACAGCCACAAGAGCTGCATACTTGCTGCTAACATCATGGGCATGAGGGTAGACCGCAGGCTGGCTAGACTTAATTTCATCATGGACAACCTGAGACACGCGAGCCCTGGAACAGGGAACCAGGGAAACCAGATCCAACTAGAGCACGTCCACTGTCACCGAACCAGTGGCCCGCAGGTAGCAATGTAAAGCCGCCACCGGGTACAGCATGTGATGCACCCCCATCCTAACCATCCAAATCTTCACAACCAACGAACCCCCTCTGGAAGCCCTCCATCTCATTCTTCGCCACAAGAGGAGGAGAAGACTGCAAACAAACAAACAAACAAAACAACCATCAGGACTAAACAAACAGAACTTTCAGTCGCCAGGGAAAAGCATGAAGCTTTCCACGCCAATTTCCTTGAGGCCAAAGCCAACAAAAACAAGGCTTTCCTTATTTTTCTTTCCTTGTCCCAAAGCAATCATGAACTGAACGGGCTACAACAAATCGAGGAGAAGAAAGAAGTGAAAGAATCTGGTCCAAAGACCAAGAAAGCTCAGGCAATGCATGAGCAGGCCAGAGATGAAAAATTGCATCAGAGAGCTTGTGGAACAGAGCAGAAGTGACATCCACCCTAAACTTAAGCTGCAGTGGCTCCACCAATGCTGCACAATAAGAAACGAAAGTATTTGGCATAAGTTGCCGGTCCAGAAAAAGCAGAGAGAGAAAGGACAAGACAACGATAACCGTAACCGACACCGATGAAACCCTCCGAAAGGAAAGGAAATGATGGAAAGACCGCCAAGAAACTTTATACTGTCACTGAGACGAAGACCACAGGTGCGTTGCCATTAAAGAAATGCGAACCAGCAACATCCCTCACTGACCCAACCTGCTGAAAAAGGCGGAGCTGCAGAAATACCCCTGGGTTCAAACACTGAGCAAGCAGTGCCTGAAACCAAGGCTGGGCCAGCCACCATGGAACCAGGAGAAGCACCCTCCCCTCATAGGATTCCAGCCGAGCCAGAACCCGGAGCAACAGCTAGACTTGGGAAAAGATGTACAGGAACCCCCCACCATGACCATTCTTGCCAAAAAGTGTCCACCATGAGAACCTTGCAGTCGGGTAACAGCACCACTTACAGTGGGAGACACTAAGACCATGCCGACAAGAAGAGGTCCATCTCCGTGTGTCTGTACGTCCAAAAATGCCAAAGGATGGAAGCGGGAGCAACCATCCACTCCGTGGAAAAAGGAACAAAGTGCAACAGGCCATCTGCCAGGACATTGGACACTCCCTGAATGCGAACAGCGCAGAGAGCTAAGCCCCGAGAATTCAGCAGAAGAGCTACTTGAAGCAACCAGCTCCAAAGAGCCATGGACTGCAGAGACCCCCCCGCACAGCAGCTTGTGCATCCGGGGAGTGAAACCCCTCAAAAACAGCTGAAGGTGGGACTTCAACTGAAGCAAAGCCACAGGAGGGAGAGAAACGGACGCAGTCTGAGAATCCCACACAAGTCCCAGCCAAGTCCAAACCTGGAACAGAACCAATTAGGACTTCCACTAATTTACCAGGAACCCAAACCATTGAGTAACCGGGAAATCCACTTGAGAGACAAGGTCATTTCAACCATGCCCAAGTGAAGCCACTCTGAGATGACCCGAAAGAGGAACGGGGAACCTGAAACCTGACCTCCCAATAATGCCACCAAAGGCAGGAAGAAATGACAGAAAAAGCCCATGAATCGTGGGGCCAAGTGTGGGCAAAAAGAGCCACCCCAATTGCCCCATTCAACAGGGCAACCCACGAAAGGACCAACGCGAATCCCGAGAAGCCGATTTCCAAACAGAGCAAACATTGCGTTGACCAGATGAAGAAGGCCTCGGTTAACACACCGATGCAGAAACTGGCACCAAAGGGCTACCCCGACTAAATAAGACACGAGCCCTGAAACTCGATGAAGAGGTCTTGGAATGAATCCCTGGAGCACCATCATGTCAGATATGGGACGACAACTGGCTGAAGCCGCCAAGAAAAACTTGGCAACACTGTCCTCAGGGAACAACAGAGGACAGAATATCGAAGAGGACTGCAGAGCCAGGGTCCCAAGCTGAATCCGAAAGAATCTAGGACAGCCTGCCAACACCTGAAATGGGAGGTGAAAACATAGAAACAGCTTCCTGGGAAATCAGTGCAGCTTCAGCAGAGCAGACAGCAGCCAAAGGCCCCACATTCAACACCCCCACAGCCTCCGAAAGTCAGTCCGAAGACAGCTCCTGAAGACTGAAGAAGCGCAAGACAGAGGCCAAATGACCGTGAGTCCGAAGGTCATCATCTGCCAAGGCAATTGAAACAGTGGGGACCTGAGCATGCAGTTGCATCACACTCTCATCACGAGGCAGTGCAATGGCAAAGAGGCACTCTGTGAGGAACTTGAGTGAGTCCCCCAAGAAAACCTGCAACACCGAAGAAACCTCTCGCCACTCAGGAATGCAGGTATGACAAAAGCCATGCCAAACTTTTAGTGAGAAGGGGCATTCTGCCAGCCAGTTAGATTCTGGGACTTCATAACTCACCCAATACGGGGGAAGAAGAACCAAACCCAAATGAAGCTGGGTCAATTATAGGCATAAATCGGGTCTCGCAGGAGGTATGCATCAAGGGCCTCCCGAACCTTCCTAGGGAAAATCCGAGAGGAAGGAAACCTTTAGATTGATGAATCCGAGGAACACAAGTGCACCTAGAAAAGAACCCAGGAGGAGCTGTACCTAACTCAAATTCATAAAGGGAAGGAGGGTATGAAAATCCCCTCCCCTGCAGCAATAACCACTGCACAGACAGCACAAGGGCCCAAGCAGGGTCAAAAGAAGCCCAAGCACTCCAAGTAGACTTCCCCCCCCCCCCCCCCCCAAGCCCTGGGAACCTCCAACACAGGCCCTGGGGCAAAGCCCTCATCCACGCCCACCACCCCTGAAGAAAAGGTGAAGTCCAGGGGAAAAGCTTCGAAGAAGGGAATCTGCTGGGTTGACCTCGGTGGTCAGCTTCAGTGGGAAATATGGGCTCAACCACCTCCACACCCGAATCAGAAGGGGCAGCCTCCGAAGCCACTCGAGTCTCATCCCGAGCTAAACCCCGCCCCAACTCCAAAACCCTCAGACGTTTGGGAGCAGGGAGAGAGGAGTAGGGTGAACCATGCCCACCTGGGAAGGAAGCGGGGGCACTGATGGAACCAAGGTCAAAGCGATCAACACCCCCAAATCCGAGTCGCTAAAACCCAAGTGGGGGTAGCTCTGGGGCTTCCAGCCGAACAGCCAACCTGGCCCATTGCAGTAAGGAGAATTGAGCATGCAACGCAGCTGCCACCTCATCCTGAGATCATCAGACAAGGAATGGGTAGATTGAAGCACAAGTGGGAAACAAGTCACACAGACTCCGGGTCGTAGGTGTCACTGACCCAACAGGCAGCATGATGGAGGAAGTACGGATGATCGTCTCCTTGAGGCAGGGGTGACAAACAACCTTCAATTTCGCACGAGGCGAGAGAGGACTTGGAAGATGCATCCATGATACTTCTGAGCCCACTGCGATTTTCCAGGGCAGCAGGGATAGTAAGCCCTATGGGAAGCCCAGGCACTGGGTCCAGCTAAGATGGTAAAACCCTATCAGTCAGCAGGCAAACTGACCATCAGTAGCAGCCATGAAACCTCAGGGGCAACAGAGGAGGACCACCAACACAACCTAGGCTTGCCTAATAAGAAGCTAGGCAAACCTCCTCTGTTAACAAAAAGAGAAAATGCTAGAAATTAAAAACAAAACCCCCAAGACACACAACAAACAAACTGGCAGCCAGTGAGAATCATTGGCTGCTGCGTGTACAAGCTGCCCCACCCAACCAATAACACTCCCCGCCTGGGGCAAAATGGAAAGCCCAAGACCCCCTGACGTAGCCCAAGGGTGAATACAATGCCAAGTGATGAAGTCCTCAAACGGGAGTGATTCCCGAATGCCCCAGGGAAAAGATAGCCCTAAAATGTAAGGATAGTACTTATGGAGCACCTAGGGAAGATAACCCTTGGTGCATGCTGCTCCTATTCACTAAGACACCTGGCCACCACACCACACACACACACACTGCTGGTATAGCCACACGGGGGAAAATCCAGAACAGGAAATTGAGGCCAGAGGTGACTGATCTAACTGCCAACACATCAGTTCAAGAACTGGCGTGGTGGGCGGCCAGCTCACCTGAGCCAGCTCCCCCTCCCCCTTGTGTGTGTTGCTTGTTGGATGTTGGATGAAGTGTTGCTTGTTTATTTTCTTCCTGGGGAAGTTCCTTTGCTCTTTTTGGACATAGATTGCAATTTCACCAGATTGTGGTGTTTTGTTTCACCTATTTTTCTGGGTGCCTTTCCCGGTCGATGGCAATTATGACATACTTTAAATGTAAAGTGCTCATAGGCCATTGCTCTCTGTGCCTCTCTGAGGGGGCCAGGTTCTGGCTTGTGGTCCCCGTTAGGCAAAAGGACTTCTGTGACCGATGACCACAAACTAGTATAGCACTATATCAGTTTGAATAGATTCAGGGATCCAACAGGGCTCCCATAGAAATTAACTAATGTCATTCATGAATCTAGAGTGTATGAATGTTAATACAGGATTCAACATTCTTTTGAAGAATGTCTTAGTCCTAATATATCTCAATACATTTTGGCTCCCTAACAAATGTATGAATTATAAGTATACTGTACTTTCAGTTTGAATATTTGGTATAATTAATTAATCACAATATTGTCAACAGAATCATGTCATCTTCCTCGCGTAGAAGGTCCTTGTACTGGATCTGTCCCAGCTTGGTACCACGACTCTGCAACTAGCAGCTGTAAATCTTTCATGTATGGAGGCTGCTTGGGTAACAATAATCGCTATAATTCTCAACAAGAGTGTGAGGAGAAATGCATCATTCCAGAAAAAACAGGTACACAGATTTTCTTTGTTTTACTTATTTATTTGGTACTTGTAATATAATACTATTACCCGACAAGTAACGAGTGGAACTTTTTATACCTCTGATTTCACTTAGTGCAGATTCATTCCTACAAGCATTGATACACTAAGTCATCGGTGTCCTTTTGACGCTTGCCTAGTGTCTAAATATTATAAATATCAAAAGATCTAAAATACTCCAGTAGTAATGCACAGAGCTTCAGCATGATGCTTTGCTTTATGATGTGAAAATCAGAGAGCCATTAATGAGCTTAAATTCTAAGGTGATTGTTGCTCTTCATGATATTTGGGTTATTCTTTCTCTTCCTAATTTCTTTGGAATTAATCTCTAATAATATATATTATTCCTTTTTTCTACAAATCAGTAAACAAAAATGTTAATTTACATGTTTTAATACAATCTAAACTTTGTAGAGAATAGTCTCTTTCAGTAAATGAAATGATAGTTCAGCTTTAATTTTTAGATGTTTTTCATGATAATATAATTGTTGATTAAATGTGTATTACATTGTCACAATATGGGAATGCCACTTTTCTTGGCCAACACCTTCTCATAACAAGTATCATTTACTGAAAGGAGAATGTAACCAACAGCTTTCATGGGCTTCCTTACACACTGCTCAAATATTATAATATTATAAAAATATACTATTTTTATGTATTAAAAACTATTAATAGGTTTAAAAGTGCTCACATATGAACAAATTTTCAGTTTACTTAACCAAGAGCAATGAGGTTTCATTAAGAACTCTTTTTCAATGATTTTCTGGAGGAGTCTCTTAGTGGCCCCCCAACCTGAAGCTATCTCACCGAGATGGTGCCTCACTACTGGATCACATTTATTTATGTTATATATATATATATATATATATATACAGTGGAACCTCTATTAACGAGTTTAATCCGTTCTGGCACCGAGCTCGTTACCTGGAAAACTCGTCTTTGGAAACAAATTTCCCCATTTAAAATAAAGGAAATAAATTTAATCCGTTCCACTCCCAAAAACATCCATACTTGTATGACTTTTTTTTATGTAAATATAATATTGCACATGTAAATATAAATGTTTTGTTGTAGTGTTTTAATATTTACTTTACCTTATGAAGAGTAGTTGCTGGCTTGAGGGAGACGATGGAGAGGTGGGAAGGAGGAGAGGGGTTATGGTGTGGAAGGGGAATCCACCTCTGAGTCAGGCGGACTCTCTCTTCTTGGGAATTTCACCCAAATTTCATTTCAAATGTCACACAAGGATGCGTTAGACCAGCACCAAATAAAAAACTATGTTGATTACACTCGTTGTGTCAACAATATAATAGTCTTACCACGAAGATACAATACAATGCCGTTTTCTCAAATAGGCAATGTGGTTATTAAAGAAAACGGAAATTTCATGGCAAACATGTATACAATCCCC